GCGCATTTGTGTAATAACTTAGTTTTCTTACTTTTAAATCTTACATACCTGTTATCTGCAATTCTATTAAACATTTTACATATTTTAAATGAGAAAGGAAGATATTTGTATCTACAACAATAAATAGATCCTGAAAAATAAATTAATATTCTATTAAATAATTATTATTTATTGAACAATTTAATAAATTAAGTCTCAAATTTTTCATATAATATATATTTAGTATTTAACATAAATAAAGCACAAGCACTATGATGTGCATATATATAGTAACCATGCTTAACACTGATTCGATATAACACGGTCTGCTCAAAGCCTAAAAAACACTCAAAATTTACAGCTGATTCAAATTATCACGGCATTTCATTAATTCATATATAATACGATTATTCCCAAACACAAACCAATCAGCAAAAGGTGGCAATTTGTCGTAGCGCTGCACTTTCCTTAAATTTATGTTTGTTTGGTGCAATTTTGCATGGATGCCATAGACAATATTGACTTTGCTTGGCAAGAATTAACTGATAAATGCATGAACGAAGTGTGGAAGAAATTATGAATGAAGGTATCCAAGAATTCTCAACGAGAAGAGTCTATTGTTGTATTGTTAGGTTGACCTAATTTGGTCAACCTAATCGATACAGCAGGACTAGGAGATGTAGATGAGCAGTATTTTGATGAGTTATTGCAAGTTTCTGGTGAAAGTCTTACCAACGATGACCTTTAAGAATGGCAGAACAAGGAATTCATGTAGAACTGGAAAATAGATTCTGAAAACAAAGAACCCAAAGAATTTCTCTACAGATTTTCTTATTGAAAGTTTGGTAACCATAACCAAAATCATTGATCAAATTGTAGCAAATAATCCAGATTTTGAAAGGAGTGTAAAAGCAAAACAAGGTGTTTTGGATGTGCTCTTCTGCTACTGCCATTTGCTTGAGGAAAAAAAAGCAACAAATAAAACTACACAACTTTATTGCAAAAAACAAGAATTTCAGAAAAGCCAGGACCTTCATCACAAAAATGAACTTTACATTTCTATGTGCATACGTTTTTGTCTTATTTAACATATACTATTATGCAAATAATAGTATATGTTAAATGTACTATTATTTGCATATTGTTTATTTTGGTCGCATGTTCCCCTTTCCCTATTTACATGATTTTAAAATGACCCCATTTAATGCTGTTTCATTCAGCTCTTTGTTATGTAGGAACATTAAGCAGGGGTGTGTGTGTGTGTGTGTGCTTATATATATATATATATATGGAGAGGAAAGAATAAGTGGCTGTTATCTACGAATATAGCCATGGAAGGAAGTGGGAAGGGGGGAGAGAGGGGGAGAGGGAAGGAAAGAAGGAAGAGAAGAGAGTTCATACATGTATCCCCATGTTCGTTTGTTAGACATAAAACACAAAATACACTGACCATGAGACCAGTGGAACATTAATGAATACACAATTAAGAGTGTGTGTGCACAAATACTACAATAATACAAAATTTCTAATTTAAAATACAAACTACCACTAGTACGGCTGCCTGTCCTCTTACAAATGCTGTACATTGTGCAGAAAACAAGAACGTGTAGAATACAAACCAACCACATAGGATTACAGTACACAGTAATTTGCAAAACTGGAGTGTACCACATTCCATCACTCAGTAATGGGTGAATTCCACTATGATGTGTATTTTACAACTACAGTACTAATATTACTTAACAACTTTGACTGATTCACGTATTTTTAATGTTTTATATTCAATTGAATTTAGGATTCTTTGTATGAATCTATTATTATTTTAACAATGATCTTCATCTGAAAATTTATTTTGCAATGTTTATCATTATAAAACATTGAAAATACTACAGGATTAGTGTAACATTGAAGTAATTGAAAAATTATCTAACTTCTGATTGTAATAGCACTATATGACATGCCACACTATAATAGATCAGCCCTCAACATTATAAAAACATCTATAAGTATATTATTTTTCAAAATTGTAAGTATAACTATGTAACTTATACAGTAGAGCATTGTTTATCCGAATCAATTAGGGACTGGGGTTGTTCGGATAACTTATTTTTCGAATAACCAATTATGTATGAAAAAATATATTAACCTATCCTGTGTTGAAAATTTTCTCCGTTGTGTGTCGCTTCGCGTTGAATTTTCATCGATATTAAGCCTAATGTAAGCTTTTTAAATTAATAATCGTGACTAAAATAAATATTGTTAAAAATTATTTCTTTATTTTTTACAAACAAAATAAATATATTGAAAAATATAAAAACAAAATAAAATTATACTTTAGAAGTTAATCTAGTATCAAAAACGTTCAATTCAACAGACACACAGTCCTCAGAATAACACCACACAAAAGTGCCAGTGCTGTCAGCTAAAACACACACATCAACAAAAAACAAATATTGGAGTAGCCCAAGATATAGCCAAAGATTGCAGCGCCACAGCACTAGCAAAAATTTAAATTTGCCGACTGGAATTCTTTCAGATAACTGACTTTTGGATAAACAACGCTCTACTGTATTTACAAAAAATTTCAGATATTTCAGATTTTCTATGAATTAGAAAATGAATGACAACTCTCACTCGCGTTCATTTGCAAATTTATTATCTTCCATTCATGATCTCATCTTCACCCTGTTTTCTCCCCATCAGACAAATGTGTGTACCATGCTGTGTAACTGCAACTCATCATTCATCTTTTAATTTGTTTTTAATTTTATTTCTAAATTCTCGTAATTTTTCTTGTAAAATTATTTTCTTCCTTTTTAATAACACTAATACTGTTTTTTAATATTTTATTTTAAGACAAATCTAGCTTCTTTCTTGTCAAGTCATAGTAATAATAATTATCGTTCCATATTACCAAGATGCACGAAGTTTCTATCTAGTTATGTATGTCCAATGTAATGTATTTATTTTTTTTATACTCCAAATTAAACAATTATTATCTCTGTGATAAAAAATTGAGCCCAGTGAATAATTTCATTGCAAATTATCTTAAACACTACACACCACTCATACCAGCGCACAAAATTTAATAGAAGCACAAACATTTTCAGCCACTTTAGGGGTCTTCATCAGGCAAAGAGAGAAAGTACCTTAAAGTAGTTGTGCTTCCATTTAATTTTATGTGCTGGAGTAAGTATGAGTGGTGTGCAGTATTTTTAATCAAATATTACAGCTTTTCAGAGTGTTTAAATTATCTTAAATTACAGAAATTCTTTTTTGAAAATTAAATAATTTTTAAAGCCTTTTGGATAAAATGATNATAATATAGTATAAAGTTAACTTTGTATTTTTATGCTATATTAAAAGATACTTTCTCCTTACATGACTGGATGAAACTTCTTCAGTTTGCATTGGTTGTATAGATTCAGAGTTCAAAAAATTAGTTAACTAAAAAATAAAAAATAAGTTAAAAATAACTCAAATATTAATTAAATGTAATAATTTCAACTAGATCTAGTATAAAAAATTATTTAGTTATTGTGACATTGTCATTAATAACTAAACAATTTGTGATTGGCATTATGACATCATCACAATATCAAACTGAAACTTTTAATCATATTTTAATTTAAAAGGTCGTGTAACTTTCGGTCCAGACCGGAAGTTCATAAATAGTTAATTGGGACTGTGTAATTTGAGTATTATAATAATTTTGGCTTTGTTCTAAATAAAATATTTAGAACAATAAAACTATACGAATTATCATATTTATTTTTATTTTAATTTCTAAAGAAAAGTTTTAAACACATATATATTTAGAATTATTTTTTGAAAAATAATCAATATTCATATTATTTTGAATAAAAATATTACACAATTACTGACAAGAAAAAATTGAGAATTACCAATGTCATATTTTAATGAAATGTGTCATTTTATAAGGATCACCTCCTTGATAAATGTATTGAAAATACTTTATCTACAAAATTCTTTCTGTAAAAAAGTTGGAAAAGATTTTACCATGTTTTCAATGTCTTGGTTAATATAAACACTAATAAGAAGCAATAATGACTGAGTTGTCTAGTTCATTAGTTCTGCACTTCAATGTGCAGAAGTGCATGATTTTGAGGGCTCACCTGTGGCCAAGCAGTTCCGTTCTCTGAACCAGAGCCGACCCTACCATAGGGCAAACAGAGCAGCTGCTCCAGGCGCTAAGTCCTAGGGGGCGCCTCAGTGGTAGAGAAAATTAAAGGGTATAAATTAGGGGCAACCAAGGGGGGCACCATAATGGGATCTCGCTCCATCCTAAAACTTGCCTCGGGCCGGCACTGCTCTGAACACTAGTAGTTCAGTCGTGGGTTTGCACCTCACCAGCCAAGTGGAGTTTTCTGGGTTTTCTCCACATCTATAATCCCTAAATAGGGGCCAGTTACCAATAATTATTAATTAATTAAAAAAACCTCCCGGAAGGCATTCCCCCTAGGCAGATTGCCCAAGTGTTGCATTGCCATAACTTAATATTAACTCACCTGCTAAGTTTTAAACTGTATGCAATTGCTGTTTTCCGTCATTGTTATTAATTATTTGCACATGGCAAAAGTAGCTCCTTTTATTTTAAAAAGTATACAGTTTAAGATTGGTAGAACAATTATTGTCTTTTTATTGTCTTGTTTACAAAAGAATGACTCCCTCCTGCTGTACATTCATTCATTCATTTCTTTATTAACGCACACAATGGTACATGCCGGGTTCCGCAGTGAGCACTACCCGGTTATAACAAATTACAATAATAAAGATACAGATAGATATAGGTGTTACAAAATACATAATTAATTATAATATAAAGGTAAAATACACAGGCGTAATAAGTACACAATACAATACAATACAGAAAACACTGACGATCGATCGATGTCTCGAAGATTGTGCTTGGTGTGATTCCAGCTAAAATCCAGTCACATTTGACACCAATACACAAAGTCCATCCTTAAAAAAAGACAGCCATAAGCAAAATAGGATGAAGAAAAATGTTCTTCAGCACTAATGTATATATTGTGTACTGTAAACTTAGTGCTGCAGTCTTGATCATCTGTCCGCACGTAAACAGTACACTTTGGTAGAGAATAACTACTGAATAATCAGGATAAACTAGACGTATGCCAGACATCCTGAGGCTGATGATGTGTAACATGATGGCCTCCTGCTGTACAGTCAACCCCCCTATAACACTGTTGATAATTCTGTTTTATATGAAATTCCATGTTGTACAAGTCGCTTAGATTTTACAAATATGTGTGCCGAGCTGTGAACGGCTCAGATATTTGTAAAATCTAAGCGACTTGTACAACATGGAATTCATATAAAACAGAATTATCAACAGTGTTATAGGAGGTTGACTGTGATTTGAAGGATTGTTTGCAGAAACCTGTTAGTGGTGAGTCATTGATGTTGAAAGTTAAGAAGGGAATGATTATTTTGGTGGTGGAGTGGTAAAACTGCCAGATAATCAAAGTGCACAATTGAAATTCATAATATCAGGAAAGAAGTTTGTTACTAAAAGAAGACTTTGGCATTAGTAAAAACTTATGTACACTAATGAAATTCTTTTTAAAGGTAATTAAAATACAGTGTTTAAGTAGGCTTACCAGACATCCCTCTTTGATGTGGTCCCTGCATCCCGGCCAGTTTGTAATTTTGTCCCAGTTATTTGGTAAAATTTTAAAAGTGCTGAATATATACAAGATGTAAAAATAGTGCAGTCTTGGATAAAATGGTAATTTGGCAACTAAAATATCCCTTCTGTTACACTCCCTGTTGCCATTTAAATATTTGTATCTAGATATAAGTGCTTTTAATATTGTCTACATGTTTTCCCCCAAAATTTATAGCATGTGACCTAATGAATTTAGATATTTTATTTTTTCATCCAAATATTTTTTCACAGAATTTATAATAGCATGTAGCCTATGTGATCCAGACATTTTTATTTCATTTTTTAGATATTTTGTTTCAATTAGTTGGCAACAGTGAAACTTACACTAGACACATCATTGTTGCACATGTCCTATCTTAGATGAGTTCAAACTGGTACTTGGCATTTGCAATTATTTTGTACTGTACATTATATTAATTTAATCTCTAAAATGCCAAAATGAAACTGTGTTTATTAATGAATTAAAAAGGATTATCCATTTTTGAAAAAGTCTGTAATCTTATTGACAAATTCAAATGAAAACTGTGCTTTTCAGAATTTTCAGTAACTCATGGTGGCCGTTCAGACATTAAAAATCACTTAAAATGTGCAAAACATAAGACTAGCCTAGTAGCAGCAAAAAGGAACTTCCTCAAATATATTATCATATTTTAATGGTCCCAATTTAAGTAACAAAGAATTTTTAAAGAAAGTTTAAACTAGTGATAAATATTAATAAGTTCTTAATAATAGGGTATATTTAGCTGAGTTATTAAAAATTGCTTTTAACTCATTTTTTGTCAACAACTTCTTTATTTAGCCTTTTCAATCGAAAATACTTATACTAGCAGGCTTTTTTTCCTATTGTGACTATTTTCTCAAAATTGTCCTGGTTTGAAAAAAATATATTATGGTAAGCCTATGTTTAAGTATGTTTGTTGTATTGATTATTTTAACTTATTTCAAAATCTAAGTAGTGTTATTCTTGCTAGATGTCAATTAACTAATAATAAAATTAACCCCTTAACGTCCAGTCCTTAACCCGTCCCCTTAATTAAGTTGGAAAACAGCTGTCACATGCAGTTTAAAACTTACTACATGGGTTAATAAATATCTTTATAGATTGTATAAATGATTGATAAGTGGAGAAACATGAAATATATAGACAAGGTAAAAAAATAATATTCATAACAAGCAATCATTTATTGTGACATCGTCACAATGCTGAGATGCAATTCTTCATCACAATGCACTTAAGTTTAGTAGTGTCTTGCCTTTGTACATCACACTTTTCACGTTAACAATTAAGTCATGCAGTCATCCCTCTAACTTTGTTCAAGAGAAAATTTTTGAACTGAAATAACATGATTTCCAGCCCAAAGCAAGTTTGTATATAGTTAATTGGTGTCTTCTGCCTCTAAGCTTTCCATTTCTGGTCTTAACTTTTATCTTTCTGACATCATTCTCAGAATTAAGTTAGAACGGACAGACAGAGGACAGTGGAAATTTATAGGTCTACAATTTTTTCAAATTGCAGCCCAACAAACCTAGAAACTTATCTCTTGTACAGTGAAAGGCAGAACTGACAAACCAGATAATCTGACCATCACCACTTCTTATTAATCAATCTTAACTTTGTTTGCATTAATCAAGACATTTTAAATAAGGTAAAATCTTCTTTTCAACTTTTTTACAGAAATAGACTTTCAGTACATTTATCAGAAGAAATCTCTACAAAATGACACACATTTCATTAAAATGTGGCATTATTAATTCTCAAGCATTCCTTGTAAGTTTCTTTGAAATACATAATAAAAATAAAACAAAAATATTTTGTTTACAATAATCATAAAATTTTAATCAACGCATAATCAATATGATTTTTCTAATACTACCAACAGTCTAACAATACATTGATAGAATACTAAAGTAATGCAGATTCTACTTGATTATATAAAATGATACATTAACAGATAAAAAAAACCCACAGTATTTGTATTGTCTTTTCATTATATTTCATAATGTACAATCATCAGTCAAGAAAAACTAATTTTAAACTGAAAAATATAATAAAAATTAAACATTTTTTGTTATATTTCAATTTAAAATTAGTTCTTGGATGTAAATAATATATTAATTTAATAAATTATCTACATGTTTAAATGAAAAATAAGTGACTTTTGTAAAAATTCTATTTATTGTCTACTTTTGTTTCATTCAATATTAATAATGACATACATAATATTAATCATCTTAAATCATATATAATGAAAAATTATCTAAAAATTTACTGTAATAATTTACTTACATCAATCATTTCAACATCGTCTGATTCTTTTTCATCAAAATCTAATTAAAAGCAAATCATTCTTGATTAATTTTTATACAAATTTAACTATTTACAATTAAAGAAATTTTTAAATACCTTTGAAGTGAGCAGAATTATTACTTGATAAACATTTTCTTTCTGGAGTGATCAAATCTTTACACACTATATTTCTGCTACTTGGAGTTTTATCATCATTATTTATTGCTACTGATATTGTTGAGTTTGATTCAAAACAGCAGTTTTGTAAAGTATATTTTTTTTTATTTTTACGTGTCTTTTTATTTTCTGAAAGCACTTTTAGTGAAACAATTCTCTTCAATGAACCAGATGTTTCAGGTTTTTCCTTATATTCTACATTGTCACTTTTAACAGAATTTGCAGGAAGTTTCACCTCATTCTTTACCTTCCTTAGCTCATTCAACAACTGTTTCTTGAGTTGGTCGTGTGACTTTGTTAATTTTTTGTGCTGTGGTTCATTTTTAATTTTATTTCTTGATAATTTAGTATTTCCACTTGAAATCTTATGGATTGCAGAATCCTAAACAAAAAGAATCATTAAAAATTTATAACACATATAAAATATATTAAAAATGTATTTTCAGGGAATTACTGTATTAAATAACTTAATTACAAATTATGCAACTATACATTTTTTTAAAGATGCCTAAAAACATGTTCATATTATATGTTCACAAAAAAAACTCTTAAAATTTTAAAAATACAGGGGAATGCAATTAATTTATCTTTTGAAAAGTAAAAACACCATCAAAATCTCAGCTATTTCTTTTAATTGAATGGAAACAGAAAATTTTATTATAAAGTGTTAAGAAATTAAAATATAACAAAACAAATTAGTTAAGTAAAAAACTGATCTTCCTGGTATCAATGTTTCCTAAATATTATAAATTTTTCCCTATCAATCAATTAAGCACTATAATTATTCATTCCTTGCACATGCAGTTCATTCACCAATTCTTTTCAATTCAAAAAGCAAAACACTTTTATCACATGCATTTTGGAAATCACAGTTAGTTTGTTAAGTTATGGCAATGCAACACTAGGCAATCTGCCTAAAGGGATGCCTTCTGTGAGGTATTTTTAAGGGAAACTGGCCCCTATTTAGGTGTTACAGACGTAGAGAAAAACTGGAAAACTCAATGTGGCCAGCCTGTCCGAGTGAGGCACAAAGCCATAACCAAACTCCCAGTATTCGGGGTACGAAGACCACTTGGCCACTGGTGAATGTTCTGTTAGTTTGGCCTGTTGGAATCCTAAATACTTGTAGAACTCCCCCTCTTCCACAGATTCAATAGCATTTCCATTTACAAGTACAAAATCTTCTTTCTTCAAAACTCTTTTTTCTATGTAAAGTGTTTTGCATTTGTCTAGGTCAAACTCCACTTGTATGTCCTTGGTGTATGAATGTGTGATTTGTAGGAGTTGATGAAGTTGTTTTTGTGTGGATGCATAAAGTTTTATGCCGTCCATGTACATAAGATGTGACAGTGTATTGTGTTGTTTTTCACGTCTGATATTGTAGCCATATTGTGTGTTGTTTAACATGTTGTATAATGGGTTCAGGGCTAGGCAGAACCAGAGAGGACTCAAGGAATCTCCTTGAAAAATTCCTCGCCTAATGAATATTTCGTTTGTTTGTATGGAGGTGTTACTAACCCTGAAATGTAGTGTTGTTCTCCAGTGCTGCATAGTGTTTTGTAAGAATGCAATGAGTGATGGATGTATTTTGTACATGTGTAGAATATATAGCAGCTAACTGTGTGGAATGCTGTTGAATGCTTTTCTGTAGTCTATATGTATGTCATGTGTATGTTTCTTCATTGTTTGTGTGCTAGAATGACTAAATGTATGAGTAATTGTTCTTTGCTATCTACTTTTCTATGATTTCTATGGCAACCTTTTTGCTGTTCTGTAAGAATGTTGTGTTCTTCAACATGTTTATATATTTTGTTTGCAATACAGGATGTCAATAATTTGCACAGTATTGGAAGGAATGTAATTGGTCTGTATTGTGCAGGGTTTGCAATATTGTTGTACTTAGGTTTCATGTAGATGATGCCCTGAGTAAGAAGTTTTGGCATGTCTTGATGTCTTGTGGATTGATGATGTGTGTTAGGTGTTTTACTAGTTCCTGATGCAGTGATGTAAACTTTTTGTACCAGAAATTGAGAATGTCTTCCAGTTGTGTGTTCTGTTAACAGCGTAGCAGATGTCGTGTACATTTATTTCAGCACAGGGCATAGCTGGTATGTTGTGCAAGTTTCTGTTCTCCTTGATCCAGCCTGCATCAGCATCGTGTGTAACAGCATTGGACCAAAGAGAAGACCAATAAGTTGCGAGTTCTTCTTCTGTTGGTGTGCCACAGTGCTGTGTATCAGTGTTTGTTTTGGTACTAATTTGTCTGTAAAACTTTTTTCGTTGGTTGTAAATAACTTATTTTGTTGTTTTTGTAGTGTACATGTTTCTTGAAAATATTTTTGAGTTGTTTCTTTAATTTGGGTGTTATGTTGTTTTTAGTATATTGTGTAAGCCTGCCTAATTGCTTTCTAATGTCATTTATTCTCTGCCAGGCAGGCTTGTGATAGAATTGTGTTTTGTGTGCATCTGTCTGCGATTGTATTTTCAGTCCATGGTGTGTTATTACTGTGACTGCCTCAGCATAAACTAATGTATGTATGTCTGAGAGTGTAGAAATTGAATGAGTGTAGTGTGATAGTAAGTGAGTGTTTACATAATTTAGTGTTTTTCCTACCACCTTTGACTTGATTTTTGGTATTCTTCGTCTTTGTGTGGGATCTGTACCTGTAATGTACATTTTGTGAGTGTTTCCTGAAATAAAAGTGAGAGCATATTACTTAAATCTATGTCTATGTTATCAGTGGTGGATGAATTAGTTTATGTGGTAGTTGTTGTGTGCATGTTGTAATCAGTGCTTGTTGCTGGATTATCCTGACAGGTTACATAATCTTCATTAATGTTAAATGTTTGTCTGTTGGTGTATTTGATCAGCAACCCATTGTTTAATAAGTTTGAGTGTTGTTTGTGAGATAAGGTTGTTGTGTATAATTACGGTGACCATATTTTTTGGGGGAAAATAAAGGACATATTGAAGAAAATTAAAAAATCTTATAAAATTCATAAGTTTATAACATTTATTACACATACATACACAATGTAAAAATTCAAATAACATTAATTTTGATACTTTTCAGTAGAATTAAGTTTTTTTAATAGCACTGCTTCACACTTTAAAAAGTCATAAAATTCTATACAGTTCATTTGAAAGTTGTATTTGACAGAAATGATGTGCTTACTTTTAACTGGGTTTTTTCATTCGTCCACATATTATTCACCAATGAAAATATTCGTTCGACGATGCATTAGATCCAGGGAGACAAAGAAAATTCTACGATTTTACAAATGTTTTTGAAAGCAATTTTTTGCTGTAAAATGTTCAAAAATCTCAACCCACTTTTGATGGCAGGGCTTGTTATTCTGTCGCCATTCGTCGATCTTTTCGTTTGTGACATATTTTTTTACACACAAAACTTCATCAAATAATTCACTGTCGAGTATATTTACAGACCAATGATTCGAAATAAAAATCTAGCTTTCCTCTACCTTCACCCACAAAGGGATTTTGAGTAATGTGACCCATTCAAACACCTCTATTTCAATAAAACACATGTCCCAATTATTTAGCACATTAACAGTAAATATGTCACATGCTCGAGCCCCCGAAGATTGTCGACAAGTGTCGACGAATGCTCACCAACGCTCCAAGTGTATCATCCACCAACCAGAAAGTTAAAAAACTATCACAAAAATCCCCATAAGAGTGTCCGCCCCTTGGTACTGTCAAAGGGCCGTTCGGTTGGCGACACACTGCACTACCGCGCTCTATGTAGCAACGTATGGACATGATGACAACACTGATCGCAATGGCGTACACGAAACTAACTTGTTCAATATAATATTAAAAAAGTTTTTAAACTTTGAATTTACAAAATAAAGGACAAAATGCCTATTTTATAAAATAAATAAAGTTAGAGGACAGAGCAGTGAAATAAAGGACTGTCCTCTTAAATAAAGGACGTATGGTCACCGTATGTATAATTGTTCTTTTTTGATCAACAATCCTTTGTTTGGTGACAGTGAGGTTACTATACAGTGGATGATCGGTTAATGAACATGATCCAAAGACTTTGTTCACTATTCGAATTGTCGTTTACCAATTATCGATATACCATAGGTTTTTATGGGAATTTAATTAATTCGTTCTAGAAACCCAAAAAATAAAAAATATATACTTTCTTGCTACATTTATTTATATGTAATAATATAAATACATATATACAGTCTTGCATTTTTATTAGTCATATTTTTTCCATTTGTGGAGGTTAAAGAATCTGTCTAATGTCAATTGCTTTTCTCTCTTCTTCAGGATTTTTCAGAAGTAATTAATAGTATTGTAATTGTAGAGATCCCTAAGCCTATTTAACTCAATCTGGTTTGGATGCCATTCTAAGACTGTTGTTCTGACATCCTCTCCCACTTCATCAAAAGATGTTTAATTAATGAATAGCAGATACTGGCATTAATCCTATTTTTCAGAAGAATATATTTCTTGTCGAGATTCTTGGTGTTTTTCATTCAAGAGTTCTTGGCATTCTTCTGTCATCAGATCCGTTTCAGATTCCATTATGAGCTCTTCAATGTTGTTTATTTCTCAGATGTGATTTTTGTTACTCCTTTAGCTGCTTGAGTCTTCTTGATTATACTGTATCATATAAGATTGAACTGCAGCCTACTGTAGACCTACCTGTTCAAGCCATACTGCCCAGCAACATCAGACATCTTCTGCCCACTCTCTACCTTTGCTATTATATTCTCATCTTTCAAAACTAAAAACTGAAGCAAAACTTAACGAGTGCCTGCCCAACAGTCTCGGGAATACTATAAAAAATTCTTTCTGTGATAAAAATAAAAGGCTGGAATTACAAGGGAGAGTTTCAAAGTTTGGAGGAATACTATCCGATTAGTATATATCGAGTCGAGCATTGATGTTGACGTCTCCCGCACTCCAAAAAGTTTCAAATTGTTGTCTGAAGACAAGGAAAGACCAATCAATATTCATTATTTTACATCTCTTCTTCTTGTGTTTGTTCTGTGAGGTGTTTGTTGTCCAAACACAAAAATCTTTCGCAAAAGTGTTCATTATCCAATCACTCACTGTATTGTTATGCGATCTCTATTTACTCTATGTCAAAATGACCTCATTTAACTTCGTTTTGCGCTTTTTCGTTTAGAAACACACCCCCCATGTTAAGCAGGGTCTTACTGTATATGGTATAAGCTAAATGTGTACAGAATATTTTATTGATTGTTTTTTCATTTCTATAGGTTCCTGTATAATCATATAATTAAAATAAAATGATTTTGCTGGAAATTAAAAAATGTTAATTAATATTTCTGGTCTAGTTAAAACAATACAACATGACATCCCTGTTGTTAAATACTATGAGCAAAAGCTCACGTCTTTATTTACTTTTGTATATTTACTTGAGATAATTATATAAATACTGTAGATATAAGTATATACATCTTTAATTTGTTCCTTTTTCTGGCATATTGTGCATAGATTAATTTACTTAAACATCAAATTTTTGAACCTTGTTCCATATTTGAACATATATTAATGATCATTTTATAATTTAGAAATGTAATCTGAAAATGGCTAATTAATTAGATAGAAAGAATTATTTTATTTTAACTAATTTTGCTGGAATTAAAAGGTGTTAAATATATGATCTTAATCAATAGTTCCACTTGGACATTTAGACTAAATCCTGTATGACTGGAGATCCAGCAAAAAGTTGGCTTTTCCTATTTGATACTGTTGTTGAATTATGAAACCTTTTTTAATTACAAATAAAGATGTAGTTAGATTTCTACCTCTATATTTTTTGTTGAGGATGATTTTGCAGGATGAGTCCAAGATGATTCTCCAGACTTAGTGTTAAAATAAAAAATTGTATTAGGACGACGAGTTGAGTAGCGTACCACCCATCCAGCAGGCAATTTCCTTTTTTTTGTATTTCTGTCCATCTAAAGAAAAATCAAACCTATTAATTTTATAAAGTAATTGATAATTATAGTTATAATTGTAAAAAATATTAAGAATCTCTTAACTTTTTTATAAAGTTCTACAAACATAACTTACATATTATTATAAAAATTATTATGAATTCTTCTTTCATAATTATGAAAATAGACTAATAAGAAAAAGAATTTTATTCAAACTTATCATTCATACAATATCATTGTGATATTCAGCAAGGGTCAATTTAAGTGGGCTATTTTCTCTGTATATATTAATAAATTTGTTTACCAATATTAAATTATCTGTTATCGCTTATGCTGACATCATCAAGTTGTTAAATCATGATCCTAACTCGATGATCTCCAATTCAATATACCTCCTAATCTCAGTATTTGGTAAAACTAATATTAAAAATAGCATCCAAAATTATTGTCGTGTGTTTTTCATTAATTCAGAATTTGCCTCTACCACCACTTATTACCATATTTTCACAGGTTGACCAGCATGCCAGAAACTCTGGGGTTGTAATTACAGGCAAGCTAGTTCACCTGCAACTAAAAAATAAAATTAATCAGATCTCACAAAACTACTTGTTAAATAAACGTTAAACAAAGCATTCTTCCTAGTACAACAAAATAACATTGTAATTTGACTAACTTCAAGGAAATCAGAAAGAGCATTTTTTTTTCACAGGGCAATAAAACAATTAGTGGCTTATTGGCATTGGTAGTAATAGTAGCAGTTAGTAGAAAGGTTGTGACCATTGTATTCAGCCCAAAACGTGTACGGCAGATGGTTAAGCACCACCATCCGACAATTCTAGATGGTCGATAATGGCATTTGCTACATCTAGCAAGGTGAGTAGATGATCAGTTTAAACTTCATTTTTTTGTGTTTGGGTTAAAATTATGATATATTTTATTAAAATAGTGATTACTTAAGCATTTACAAATAATATTGTAAAGAAACAGACAATTTTAATTCAAAAATTTAATTATTCAATTTTTTAGCAAGTGATGTGAAGTGCCTATAGAATTTACATATATTTGCCTTCATGATAGCTTATATTAAAGTAGGTTTGTCCTTCCACGGCATCTTCTACCATCAACAGCGTAATACATTTGTAAATTTTCTAAAAATTAATTTTCCGAGCTGCTTTCGAATTTACATAAGCCACTACTTCTCTCGACAAAAGTATGAGGTAGTCCTATCGTCTGATCATACGGTAGGAGACACCATGCTAATTAAAAATAATTATTTAGTGTTATTAAACATCCTATACATATTTTAAATTGTTTAATTTGTTTATTTACCTTCGCTGGTAACTTTTGTTCTCAAATGGTTCTGCCATTTTATCAACTTATTTCCCGTGAGTCAATGCACAACATTTGCTGAGTCACATGATATTGTGAAAGTCCACCGCAAAAATTTTTTCTTGGAGTTAAAACGTAAACCGTGTACTTCTGCTTGCCATGTAGAAGTAACGTTTGTACTTTGGCCACAACCTCTCTAGTGTAGGCTAACTGACCTTAAAGAAATCACCTTCCTCTTAAATTTCACAAAAAGTGAATGTTAATTGGTGTAAGTTGAGATAATTTACAGCAGGTTTCTGAAATCTGATATTTGATCAGTTGTTGGCTCAAAATTAGAAGAAATATGCATTTTTATTGTAGACGAAAAAAATATCAAAATTAACAGGTATGTCACTACACCAGATATGTAGATGATATAATAATATATGACTCAGAAAAAATTTCAGCGAAAAAAATTGAAGAACATGTGAATATATTAAATAATAATTTAAGCTTTACATATGAAAATGATGATGATAATGAATTAAATTTCCTAGATATAACGATAAAAATAAATAGAAAAACATTACAATTCTGTAAGTATGAAAAGCCATGCAATGTTAAAAAAACAATTACAAATAGACACCCACAACTGCTATAAATGATCAGGCTATAATTTGGAAATAATAATTATAAATTACAAATGAATTTGACACTGGAGGGAGGCGTTAGATGCCATCTTGTATTAACATTAGTAATTATAATTTTTAGTTAAATAATTTAGATTAATTATTAAACTGGAAGGAAAGAATCAGCTGAAAATGGGACTTGAACTTGCAACTCCCACTTTCCGTGTGGATGTGTTGCCAGTTACCACCAGACCTCCGGTCCAATCTCCTCTTCCAGTATATATAAGTTTAATATAAAACCATTGTAGACAAACATGGTGCCGACTGGGGACACATTCAGTGCCCTCATTCAAGGCATTCAAGTTGGCCATCACATATCCGGCAAGGCATAAATATACAAATATATAAAGACCAACAGACACATGATGCATAGCAAATAGACACCCACAACTAGAACCCCGTAAATAATCAGGCTATAATTTGGAAATAATAATTATTATTATTTACAAATTATAGCCTGTTTCTGTTGGCGTTTATATTTAATTAATTACAAATCTTACTGTCCTACTGACATAAAAAAAAAAATACTTTCCTTATGAAACTGAGATAAATATTAACAAGAACTACATTGTCTGAAGATATTATATTAGAAGAAAACAATTATTTAGAAAATATTTATTAAATGGATATCCAAAAAAAACTAAGTGGTATGATAATTATATGATTAATAGATATAAAGTAAAAAAATGATAAAACAAATTTGTCAGTACATTCCTTTTCCATATATAAATTATTTATATGAAAAATATAAGTCATTTAATGATATTTCTGTTCACATTATAGCCACTCAAAAAATAGAAATAAAATCCATTACATTAGATACCCTAATAAAAAGAAAAAGTCTAACAACTAAATATTGCAGGGATTGTATATGAACTGTTATGCATGTGTCCTCAACCTAAATAAACCAAGTGTAAACTAAAGAGAAGAGAAGAGAACACAAATTTACATCTAAAATACTAAGAAACTCCATGGTATCAACATTGCAATATTTTTAATTCTAAAATTAATAAAAATAATATTAAAACTCCGTATAAAGAAAATAATGTTGTTAAATGTGACATAAAAAACCATTACAATATTAAAAAATATGTAAATACCATAAAGTTAAATACAGGCATGTGTGTTGATGGAACTGATCAACAGAAAAGGCATTGTGTTTTGTTCAAAACTTCTTACATAAAATCTCAAATAAATCTCAGTGTGTTAGCACCTTTAGAATTACAAATGTTTTCAATCTTTCATCTGAATCTTCATCAGGACAACTGTTCAAGAATCAGAACATTTTAAACATTATCACAAATTCTGTGTTACATAAATTGAACATTGTCATTGTTATGATATTTTTTTTTCAACTAATAAAGGAATTTGATGAGAAATTTGCCATGTGTCTTTGGAATAAAACATAATACTAGTGTTTACTATGCCACAAATTGTTATGATATGTCACACTTGTGGCAACACTGTCAAAACTCTCAGTGTTTGACAGTGTTCACCATGCTACATGTGCCTCTCCTCTTGTTGATGTCATATATGTATTTCATAGTTTATAATAAATGATTCATAAATTTTCTATTGGTGGTTGATGGTTTTAAAAATTGTTTTAATTATACAAACTTATATTTATCTTATACAAGCATAAAAAGAATGAAAAGAAACAGAAAGATGAACAACCATGCATAAACCCATCTTAAGAAATTATGTTTAAACATCACAAAAATTTTCTACTATGAAATGCAAAATAGAAATTATCTGAGGAGGGGGATTGTGAGCCTGAAAAAAATATTAACTGAAATTGAATAAAAAACGAAAAATTGCTTAGTGTCTGATTAATTGCACTCCATTGGGCTAAAGAAATAAAGAAAAAAAGAAAAGATGCAGTTTCAAATTTACAAAAAAAAATTTTTCTAGTTGTCATAATACAAGCAGTATTCAGCATATAACATGGTATCAGAATTATTGTCACCATTGTCCTACTAGCAACAGCTTGAAATAATGAGTTCACAAGTCGGTAACAAAGGTCAGCCATTTGTTGCAGTCGCAATCTACTTCCTGTTAAGCTGTAACAGTCGCAAACTATTTCATGTAAATATATAACAGTTGCAGACCACTTACTGTAAAGTGGTAAAAGGGCCGGAGAGTAGCGTAGGAAGATTGGAAGACAAAAGAAAGACCTAACACTTTCTGGACTAGCTGTCTTAGCATTCGGATGCATGAAGCTATGCTCCACATTTTTGTACAACTGCTTATAACCAAAGTTAAATTTAAATCGGAGTCAGTTATTTTTATCTGTTAATAAATGTTTTGTTTTAATATTGTTACATCATGTCAATTAATTATTATACCAGCCAGTTGGGAACAACCCAACATTGGTGAGCCAGATGTGACTCGAACACGCACAAGGATGAGGGACATTGACCACTCAACCACAATCCGCCAGCATCGGCAAAAATTGCACAAGGATTACTCAGAAGTGGGAGACTATATCCTCAATTGGACACAGTGAGGAAACAAAGTGAGGAAACAGTTTTTTCCAGCAAATTACAAGATTTAGTGAATTCACTGACCACATGCTTCACTAACCTGCACACTCGGAATCTGAAAGTTTGCGGATTGTCGCAGCAAGAGATTAACAATTATTTTTGGACATTAAGTAGTAAGTACGAGCATTTTGTTTTCTTAACCGACTCCTGAAGTAGAGATGCAATAATCGCAAATGAAGACACTCGCCAAGGTTTCTGTGAAACCACTGTCTTTTTGGAGAGCAAACCCTGAAATTTGGTTCAGGCAGATGGAATCGCAATTCTCGTTAGCAGGAGTCACAGTAGAAGTGGTAAAGTTCCATCACATGGTTTTGGCACTCCAGCCCAAGGAGCTAGCAGTTGTGGCAGATATCATCCTAACCCCCCCGGTAGATAAGCCATATGAAGCTCTTTAAGCCCATCTGTGCCGGCAACACGCCGACAGTGAGGCGAAGAGACTAAAGGACTTAATATCAGGAATGCAGCTAGAGGATAAGAAATT